TCCAGTTCTTTATTGAAGTAGGTATATTAATTTTCTTTAATTTGAAACAGTTCTTAAAACAACCATTTTCTATTGATGTAATTGAAATTGGGATTTTAAAATATACAAGTGATGTACATCCACTAAGAGATTCATACTTTATTTCACTGATTGATGTTGGTATATTAATTGTTACCAATGATGAACATCCTTTAAAACATCCATTTCCTATTGATGTAACTGATGTTGGGATATTGACACATGTTAATCTTGTGCATTCTTTAAAACAATTATCTCCTATCCATTCTATACTTGTTGGTATATTAATTTCAACAAGGTCAGTACTTCCTTCAAAACATTCATCATCAATTCCATTATATTTTTCTAATTCTGATAAACTATATTGTTTTCTGTCTTCACTTGTAAATATATTACTCATTGATATTTTATAATTTTTTTATCTGTTGAAATACTGATGAATGAAGAATTAATGACCTTCTTTATTGTTCCAGTGATGTTTATTATTTTTATTAATACCTAATTTCAACACTAAATTTACATTAAAATAACATTGACATTAATAATGGAATATTATTTTTATACTATAATAGGATTCTATCGTTTTATGAAAGACAATAGTAACCCTTATCGTTTTCTATTGATAGAAATGATATTTATATTTTATTTCTTTCTCTTTATTTTTTATTACCCCCTTTTTATATTTTCTAAAAATTGTTAATGTTCAATTTATTAAAAATGAAAAAATTATCTTTTTATCATTTAGACTTTTATTTATTTCTTCACTTATTATTTATTTTTTATTTGATTATGGTGTTATAATTATTAAATTTCATCAATTATATAGTTATTTCAATATTCTTTATATTGTACTTTCTAATATCAATTCTTGTGAATATGATTAATTATTATTCTTTTTATATTTGATTTATTTCAATTTATATAAAATTTTCTATTTATTATCATTTCTTCTTTTTCATTTTTATTTTGTTCATTTAAATCTTATTCTAACATATTTTATAAATTATTTTTGTTATTATTTTTATATTCATTAATTTAAATTTACAATAAAAACATTATATTTTTAAATAAATATTTATCTATAAATTTATTCTAATTATTTTTATTAAATTCTTCATTAAATCAATTATTATTATATTTCTTTTATTCATTTCTTTTGTTTGAAGTAATTTATTCTTTATCATTATAACATCTATTATTTTTATATTTATTTATCTTTTTATTACTTATATTTTCTTTATTCTCATTCATTTATTATATTTATCATATATCATGTTAATATATTTTATATCTATTATAAATAAACAACGTTATCAATTCATTTTATGAAATGAATTATATAATTATTAAATTATTTATTGTATTGTTAATTCTTTTAATTTTATTTTTTAAATGAACATTATCTCTTATTTCATTTCATTTATATTCAATTAATATTATAATTTATTGATGTTCATTATGTAATAACCAAAAATATTAATTATTCATATTTAATGAAGATATCTTTCTAAATTTATTTTTAAATAATAAATTATCATTTCATTTATTTCATTTCATATTTTATATTCTAATGAATGTTGTATATTAAAATATAATAATTTACATTTTCTTCTTCTCATGACATAAATTTGATTATTATATTTTGTTTTATATTTAGATTATATGAATATTTTAATTGATACAAAACATCACTCATTCTTTCAATATTTTCAATTATAAATTAATTTTTAACATTTTACAATATTTAATTTATTATTTTATCAATTGATAAATTAGAAATATTTATAAAATAAAATTACATATTTATATTTACCCCCTTTTCATTTGTTTGTTGTTATTGTTAAAATT